TGGACGATGAATCGATGTTCAGCATCTTCCATCCTTTTCCTTCTCTCTTTATTTTGTACCCTGTGAGTCCCTGTGTGTGTGTGTGTGTGTGTGTGTGTGTGTSTGTGTGTCTGTGTTTACTATGTTAACAACGTAAGCTTCGGGTCTCAGATCAGCCACATTACAAACAACGAGGGAGGTCAGAGGTCAGAGGTAACGGCAGAGGAAGGTGAAGAGGTAAAGATCAGCAGTGGAGGAAGTACTCAGACCTACGTGAGTAAAAGTACTGATACCACAGCGTAGACATACTTTGTGACGAGGACACATGTTGTCAAATAAATGCAATAAAAAGTAGAATATGTACCTCTGTGATGTAGTGAAGTAGGAGTATGACGTGAACGTACTTCTTCTTGTTCTGCTTCATTAATGTTGCATGAAATGTTTCACAGCAAACATGAGAACATGAAGCAGACGGAGTTTCATTGTTGCTCGTTTATTTGCAACTTAATTCACGAGTGGATTGACAGCGAGGACGTCGAGTGCGATCAGTTTGTGTTGTTTCACCGTCGTGTTGCAGGACGGCTGCATGGACACACTGTGCTGGAGACACCTGCTTTATGAGGACACAGCTGTGTTTGAACACCTGTATTACGGGGACACGAATCTTTACTGACTGGCTTTGACGTGATGCCGTCTTTTTATTATTGTTCTGTTTATTTACTTTTTGTTGTTCTTGTATCGATTGTTTTCATTATTTCATCTGTTTCATCAGAGTTCACATTAGTTTGTCTTCCTGTTGCTGCTCTTTGTCCGTCAAAGCACTTTGTGTTTTTAAAGGTGCTATTTAAATAAAGTTATTATTATTTAGTTATTGTTTCACCGCTCAGGAAAAACTAGTCAAACTCTAGAAAATAAAAACAGTCATTTCGAGATGTTTGTGCTAAAAAACTAAATGCACGTTTTTTACAGATTTCTCCTTTTTTCGTTACAACGTGCAGCAAAAATGGGGAGACTTTATATTTTCTGTCCTTGGTGTGTCCGTCAGCCCCCGTGTCCCCTGGGAACAGCTCCCCTCTGGGAGGAAGGCCCCCCCATGGGAGAGATTGAATCAGGGTGCCAGTAGGGCACCTGGCCGGCCGCCACACTCACCACAAGGTTAAAGGAATGAAACACAACGTCAGATAGCGACAACACCAAATACACAGTATTTATACATGAAAGAATGGACGGATGGTAAATATGCTGCATAAACACGTTGCAGGTTCGATTCCCTCAGCGTTCAAACTGAAGAAAGAAAAGAATCCTGAAGAACAAAGAGACAGAAATCTGCAATAAATGACGACTTCACAGTTTTTCTCCCCGAAGCAGAAATGACCTGAAAAGTTTCTGAGACTGTCGATGTGAGGTGTGCACACACACACTCACACACTCACACACACACACACTCACACACACACACACACTCACACACACACACACACACACACACCCAGTGAAGGTAGGGCTGTTGGACAGACTGTGCGTCTGCTGGGAGCTGGTGGACCTCTTTCCTGTTTTGATGTCGTACTAATTAGAATATCAGATGATAACACTGTGTGTGTTAGTGTGTGTGTGAGTGTGTGAGTGTGTGTTAGTGTGTGAGATTACTGTTTGTTGACACACTTCCCAACCAGAACCTCTCAGAGGGGTCGTGTTTGAAACGGCAGCAGCAGTACCACCTCCTCGCTGTCCTGAGTGTGTGTGAGTGTGTGTGAGTGTGTGTGTGTGTGTGTGTGTGTGTGTGTGTGTGTGTGTGTGTCCTGTTCCCGTAATAAAAACTCTCAGAACCAGGTCACACAACAAACAAAGCTGCAGGAGGAAAACTCCGACACCTCCCGTGTTTGAAGCGGTGAACGTGGTCGCTCCGTCGTCTCGAGTAAAGATTCACAAGAACTGCAGCGATCATAAACCAGTTAGTCCGGCCCGGTCCGGACTCACAGTTAGTCCGGACCGGTCCGGACTCACAGTTAGTCCGGACCGGTCCGGACTCACAGTTAGTCCGGACCGGGCCGGACTGTCGGACCAGCTGTGAGTCCAGTCATCAGAGGAGGAAGGAGACTAAGTGCTGCACTCCTCAACAGGTTCTGAAGTACTATGTTGAGGTACTTTTACATGGTCTACTACTTTAAACTTCTAGTCCGCTACATCTCAAAGTACTTCACTACATAGATGACAGTATTTCATCCTCGTCCAGTGAAACTGATGTGTTTTTATACATGTAGATACATCTGTATGTATCCATATATATGCACACGTGCACGAATACTATCTATATATACATATATATATATAATATATGTCTATATAGTGTGCGTATGTGTGTACATATATATATATGTAAACATGCATATTGAATACACACGTATACGTCTATAATTACACGTATGTGTATATGTAACATAACCCTTAGCTTATATACATGTATAAATGTGTGTATATATATATATTTATATATGTTTATTATATACAGTGTATATATACACTATACATGTATATATACACATACATATGTGTATATAGTATGTATGCTTGTGTACATATACATACATATATCCATGCATATTATACATATGTGTGTATATATAACTGGCTCCATAACGAGCTGTAAACATGAAACAAACGTTTAAACGGAAGCGACAGCTTTTCCCTCTTTGTCACTTTTCTGTCTTTTGTCGCCTCAAAACGTCGACTTCAGGAAAGTGAATTTTACATGAAACTAAAGTCTGAGTGTGTGTGTGTGTGTGTGTGTGTGTGTGTGTTATGTATTTAACAGGACATTTAGTGTGTGTCCCCTCACGTACGCTCCACCCGTCTTGAGTGTGTGTGTGTCCTCTCTTTTGACTCCCCCACCCTCCCCCCTTCTTTCCAGTCCCTTATCCCACCCCTCTGAGTGAGTGTGTGTGGTCCCGCCCCCTTTATATCTGTGTCATGGGGGGGGGGGGGGGGGGGG